ACAGGCATCCTTGTCCTGGAGCTAGTCATGTTTCCAAGTGGGTGTTAGTTTTGCCTAGTGATGACAAGACATGCCAGTAATGACAATAGTTCATGAGATACCCATTTGTTTTGCCTCTCTCGATGGTAATAAAGAATTAGAAAGTCTTCTGAATGTGGATGTAGATGAAGAAAAGGCAGACCAGGGGCAAACCAGACAAATGTTACACTAACACTGCTACAAGTCACTTGGATTGCAGTGAAGTAGTAATTTTTGTAACTTTCTCCAAAATTGAACATTTAACTTAAGAACTCAGAATAATAGTTAAATGATGTTTCTTGTATTCTAATCTTTCCAAAGCTTCTTTTGCCATTCTGTTCTTTCCAGATTCACATTTTTCTATTTGATTTGAAATATTGCTGTATCTTTCATGAAGGCTGCATTTGTCTGTCCACAGGTTAAGAGCAGGACAGGGGACTGACAGGCTGGTTTTTCACGCTCCCTGTTTTTATGGTATTTCCATGTTTATGAGTAACCCATCTCTAGTAGTAAAAGAAGAGTGGTTCCCATTCGCACGTTCGGTAGGTTCTGGCCTCTGCAATGCATGCTGCTAGCAGTGCTAGGTGTCTTACCACAGATAGGGCCAGATACTTTGGACGTCACAATCAGTCCTTTCCAAAGTAGGCAAAAATGTCATCTCGACTTAACGAATAACTGACCTTTACTACTAAGCAGTCACTTTTATACTAGGAAATTAGCAAGACTGTTTTTATTTCTATATATCCTATCTTGGTATATGTCTATGGAAGATGGTATGCAGTATATTCTCTAGAGTAGCCAAAGGCTTGCTATCCCTGGGGGAGTCAAAGGGAATGGATCACTTCAAACATGAATCAATGGCCAGAGTGTAAAGAGTAATGAAGGAATAACTGTGACTGATGAAAATCTCTTTCTTTTTGCTGTCACTTCTTTTCTCTTTCTTTCCTTGTCTTTTTCTCACCCATTCTTTGCTCCTTTCTCTCATGCTTATTATTGTTTGCATTGTGGTAACATGTAATGGCTCAGTCTGAGATTTTTCTGTGTTAAATGATATATAAAATGGAAGGTAAAACCACATCTTATTAAAGACAATAGGATTAACCCTGATGTGTCCAACATTTCAGGGAATATGCTAAGGGATGGTGCCTGTCCTAAAATTCTAGCCATTATAAAAGGTGAGAAACTCAGATAGAGGCAGGAATAAATAAATAAACAATGTAACAATTGTTACTGTATGTTTCTTAATATTTAATTCATGTGAAAATGTTTGTCTTTCCTGTTCGTGATCAGATTCTTTTCTCTTTCTAAAGAACAGGGGTTCTTCTTCCCCTGCACTGTCCTTAGAGAGCAATCAGTGTCTTTTGAAACAAAAACATTGTTTGAAATTAATTTAATGAAGCTGTCACATTTTTAGATTCATTCTGTGGTGTTCTTTCACCCAGTATTTTCCCTAGAGTGTAGTCTGGAATCCAGCTTCCACAGAGGAATTGCCTGCCATATACCCACAAAAAGTTATCCTTCTCCTTTAAGCTGCATTTAGTTTTAAATCATCAAAGTCATGAAAAGTTGAGCAAATGCAAAGCATCTAGGAAGAGAGGCAGTCCACACCCTCAGAAGCTAAAAGTGTCACTTTGAGGACAGGCCCAGCCTTTAGGCCCAAGTGTAGGCTTCTTTGCCGACTAAGCCATTAGGGCAGCCAAACTGTACTGCTTCTGCAGTAATTTTTAATTCTGACCAAGCTCTTAATTCTGAAAATCAAAACCTCCTCCTGAGATTACAATGTGAACTGTAACTAGCAGACAGAGCATTAGTTGCCATAGAGAGACAATTACCAGCTTCCACCTCTCTTCTCACCCTTCATTAGTAGTACATTTTTATTTTATCTATTATTTTGGGTTTATTATTTATTAGACTTTCCTGAAAATATTTTCAGAAAGAAATAAACCCCTTGCTTCTTTGTGGTTGTATATATCTTTTATTTAAAAATTTCAGGTGTCTCTTTCACCCTCTGTCAGTACTGTAATTATCACAATAAGAAAAAAATCCACACATTGTAAAACCTATTAAAATTGTTTATATAGGGCACAATACTGTCTAAATACCTGATTGATAGGATGAAGTACCTAAGAACAGCCAGTTTGAAAGCTTGTTCCTATGTGTTACAACTTGTAAGAGCTCACTGACTGTATGTGCTTTTTATATCGTTAGCACCTCATTTCTAACCTAAAAAGGTACTGAGACTTTCTGGCTCCCCACATAGAATCACATGTTAACAGAAATATTTTCTTTTAATGCTTTATACGCTGAATATAATTCTGTAGTTCTGAGATAGTCAGAAGAACGTGGAGATTACAGTACTTTAGTTATTTGCAGAAATTCATTTTGCAGATGCTTTTGTGATGGCCTGTGGGTCAACTTGCAAATATTCCCCCAGAGATCAAGCACAAAGAACATCAACTCTTTGGCTGCTTTTTCAAATCCTTCAAGTTTGGACTTGCTTAAAGCAGATGCAGCCAGAGCTTCTTGGCCTTCTTGGGATGGTTGTAATTTATTACTCTAAGTAAGAATTGTTTTCTAATATAACCCTTCTCTGAAAACAGATCATTTATGTTTTGTTATTTTTTACTTTTTTCCTTCTTTTTTTTTCATTCTATCTAAATTTTATTCAGATTAAAAAACTAGTCTTTAATTTTGTACGACTAAAGGCACTCTTCTCTTGCATTAGGTTTTGCCTGAAAGGTCAGGCAAAAATTGTAATTAAAAGGGCTAAAGGCAAACTCCTTAACCATAGTGAATGACTTTTCCTTTGGGAAAGTAAAAGATGGAAAATCCTCATATGGATTTATGCATGTCTTCTTTCCTTTGCTGTGAGTAGAGTACCTGAATAACAAATGACAACTTTTGCACCAATAATAATTTCATTTTTTAAATTTGTCACCAAATTCCTAATTGCCCATATTCTAGTTACAAATTTTGTAATAATATTTTAAAACATGGAACAACCATTACATGATATATTTGGTTTTTCTCAAATTATAGGGCCATTTGTCTCAATAAGTGTTTCAGTGTTACTATGTGACTTGTTGTAGTTTCACAATAAATAAATCCTCCCGTAAAAGATTATATCTTTGATATGTGTGTTCCAAGCCTTCTAACAACAATGGACAGAGCCTCACTAACCATACACCTCCCTAAATTGGTCCTACATGCAGGTTGCTCAGCAAAGCTACTGTTCCTTTTTGCAATAAAAAGCTGTCTGCAGCTGCAGCTTCCTGTAAATGCCGAACACCTGTAGCATGGTACTTAACTTAGAAGAGTATTAAAATAGTTTTGCATCTCACATTTGCCACAAACCTGTCTTCTTTTATGTGCACACATGTTAGTATACAAATTGCCAAATTGGTGTCAGTTGTAAAGTAATGGCAGTGGAGGCATCATAAATTACCGTGGTGATCCTCAGGAAAAGACACGGCCGTATACGAATGAGTGTTTTGCTCTCAGGGTAATGTATGTCTTCATCTGGCCCAGTAGTCAGCATATTGCCCTGTGTTGATGGATATAGTCAGCTTGAAACTACACTACATTTCACTGCACAATAAACATGGCTGTCAACACCATATAAAGCAAAATCAATTTATCCTGTATGGTCAGTGCGTTTTAAATGAAATTAATGTACTGTGGACCTGGTGGCAAAAAGGTAGTGTATTAGTTATGCATCCTCTATTTTAGGACTTTTTTCATGTAAATGTGTTTCCTATATAGAATTTTTAAAATGGTATATACCTAAGATATAGTGGTTCGCACACTAAATTAGGAAACTTAATCTTTGCACAATTAAAAACTTGAGTCAGTCACAGAAATCAGTAAATCTGCAGCGTTTTACTTAGAGTAAAGAACTAATATTATTTGGCACATGAATCTGTGTCAGGAGCTGTAACAGTTTACAAAAAAGGAGGCCTATTGCTGTGCCAATTTGTTGTCAAGTATCCTGCTTTTTCAAAGTATTGAATTATATGAATAGTTTGATGAGGCCTAAGACTGTCACCCTCCCACTGTAAAGACTTTTTGCCTTTCTTTTATGGCTAAGGTACAACTGTAAAAAACATACGTTATTGTCACAGTTGCAAAAGTTTTTCTGGTACAAGCATGCCTTACCTAGGCTCGGTTTTGTCTTTCTCCTGTATTAACTAGTTCTACACCTCATACTCAGCTCTGTGAACTCTAAAACCCCATGAAGCTTTGCTGTTTGTGGTCAGGAAGCAGGACTGGATGCATGACTGACTAGTTAAGGTTAGCATGTACAGGTTGAATTGATGGTGGGTAAGGACAGGTCACTGGAGTACATTAAAGCACAGCAAGCACGGAGAAGCTGGAGCGCTTGTCTCCTGCTCCAGAAGCTCCAGGATGCTGTGTGTGTACAGGCTGAAGGCAGGCAGTTTTACTACATACATGTGATCGAATGCTCCAGGACACATCTAAAATTCAACTAAAGCAGATGCAACCTTAAAATGTTGAGCTCCGAGCATAATCAGATCCATACAACTAGCAGCACATACCTGGTGTACTATATAATTTATTTTATGAAACGTTTGGCATGTGCTTCACTGCTCAAGCAGGAAAGTCATTGTAAATTACTTGCGTGAACAGGCCTACATCAGTTTGGATTCTCAAGTGTAACTTTCAAGTGGGCTTTGTTGAGCATTCAGAACATGGACGCTACATTAAAGTCCCAAACAGAAACTTTCCCAAATCTCCATGCCTTAGCTGGTGCGCACTTCGTTTCTCACTCAGATGTTGATGCCTTCAGCTGGGTGAGCCTGATCGGTGACACCGAAACCGCGGGCCAGCCTTTCTCTCTCTCCCGCATAGATTTAGCGGGAAAAAGAGCGCGAGGCCAGAGCAAGCACAGCAGGGGAAGGGCTGGCGTAACCACGTAATAACGTTTTGCACCCCTCTTGTCTCCTCCTGCCCTGACGTTGCAGGGAGTAAAGCCGTGAACGGCTCTGCCGCTAAACTACAGCAGTATTATTGTTGGCCAACAGGAGGGGCCGCGGTGGCGGAGGCGCGCGTCTACCGGGACTCACGGGGCCGCGCCAGCAGCGAGCCGCACATCAAGCGGCCCATGAACGCCTTCATGGTCTGGGCGAAGGACGAGCGCCGGAAAATCCTCCAAGCCTTCCCCGACATGCACAACTCCAACATTAGCAAAATCCTAGGTAAGTGCGGGACGGTGAACGCATCCTGACCGCGCCTGGGCCGGCGCTGAGGGAAGCCGAGGAGGCTTTGCTCTAGTGGTGGCAATTGGCAGAGGTTAGTTATTTCTGGAGCTGTGGAAAGATGAGGTTATTTATATTGGTGACACAGGCTAGTTACTTCCTTCTTGGATACGCAACTTCTCTAATTTAGGACGTATTTTGTTTGGGAGATGTTCACTGAAATTGGAATTACTGAAGGCTCATGGGTTGTTTTTATTTTCATTCCCTTCCCTTTTCCTTTCTGCTCCTTCCCTAATGCTTTTTATTTTCAGTAGCAGAGTCACAACATGCTTTAAAGACTCAGCAGCTGTTCCAAGGGTGCATCCTGATAAAAGGTCTAATTGCAAGATCCCATCAGAAGTCACCTGAATGCAAAATGGTGCTTGCTAGAGTAAATACTGGGAAAAAACTATACAATACGAAATCATAATCAAAGGTTTATGTCAGACAGTGCAGTGTCAAAGAAAGAGACCCGGCACAGTTCAAAAGATGTGTACACGCATACCTTCTTGCATGCAAAATACTGTTTGATTCAAAATGGTACAATGTTCAGAAAGCTAAGGAAGCACTAGCATCATACAATTAAAATATTGCTTAGTTAAAAGACACCATAGTTAATATTTAATTTGTATAGATTGGGATGAACAGGGAATATACCATGGATTATATTTTGCCACTGTGCAAATAAATTGGCTCATTTTTGAGAAATTTTGATTTGCTTTTTAAGACCCCTCCAGAGAATTGGAAACATACGTGAGAATGAGTGGTGAAATGTTAAAACCTACATTTTCTTTCTGGGTCTTTGAAGTGAAAGACAAATTCTAAATGTAACTTGTAAAAAATAAAAGTAAAAATCAAGTTTCCTCTGTGATCATTTTATTGTAAACTTTGAGTTCAAATACATTCTTACCGAAGTTTGTTGCACGCTAGTTCAATCAGAAGCAAGAATACATAGAAATAAATGTTACTTTGTCCTAAAACTTCCAAAATCTTACTTAGTAGTTCTCATATTTTTGTCTACCATATAAGTAAGTTATATGAATAGCCTTTCAGTTTTGTATAAAACCTGCACTGTTTCAGTGTTGGCAGCTGTAGGGAATCTATATTATTTGTGTGCATTCTGTGAAAAAACTATTAGGAACATAGTAACTGTATTCATTAAAATGTAAACTTCCAGCATAAATATTTCAGAAGTGCCAGCAACTGAGTGTTTGTTAACCATGGAATTAACCTGTCAGTATCTGCTCTGCCACAAATAAGTCTATGTCCATATAATATCTGTGCAACTTTTTCAGGACAATGAGAAAAGAGACTGAAATATTAGAACTGACAAGGAGTATTGCTGGCTACGGATAATATTTATACAACTTTTCCATTTGTTGATGTATGAAAAATCTTGGTAAAAGAATAGCTTCCACCCACGTTTACCACAGCTGTAATCGTTTTATTCATCTAAGACACCGAAAAGCTATTTTCTGTATTTCTTATTCCCTAGGAAAAAAAAAAAAAAATCCCTTCTCTATTCAAGTGTTTAGATAGCTCCTTATAAACAATACAAGAGATCTGAATACTTTTCCCTCTTCCTGTGTATGCTCTGTAAATTTTTTAACTTTTTTATTGGTGCAGCTTTCAATGAGAGTTTACAGTACCTGAAGTGGTGTATATAATTACAATGTGCTTTCTGATTTTCTTTTTTTTTTTTTTTTTTTTTTTAATTTAAGTTTGTTAAATATAACTTTCTCAGTGCACTTCTGTGCATTTCTTACATCTGGCCAGAAGATAATATGCATAGTAGGATTTAAAACATGGTACGGTGCCAATATTATGCCAGGCTTGTATCAGAAGATTAGTAAATTTAAGACATCCAGACAGTAAGGGATTTTTCATAATTTTGTTGAATCTATAAGGTTTTGATAATTTTTTCTGCTACATAGCAAGGTATTAATATCTATTTGTAGGAGTGTATAAACCAAATCCTCATAAAACTATCAAAGAAGCATGTATCCCTAGGCAATGTGTTAAGCTTTTAACAGTAGAAGTACGGTTGTAGACCTTACTTAACCATAATACTGTGCATGGTATTACAAAGGTATAGAATTGTTCACAGATTAATGCTCATGTTGTAAAAAATTAAATAGTCTGTTTTGCAGCAGGAGGCTGAGATTTTTGAGAAGTAACTACTGATTTTAAGTGCACCTATTTAATAGAGATTTACATATGCTTGGTCTGCAGCAATACCTGGAAATCAAGCTTCTTTGAAGGTGCCTCAGGTTGTGCATCCCAATATATGTGCTGGCTGATGTAAATTCAAATCAGTTTGTTTAATTAACTTATTTAAAATTTGTTTGTTATGGTGAGAAGGCATGTTGAAAAGTGTATGCATAAAGCTAGACCTGCTTTACTTGAGCACTCACTAATGTTTTGTGTTAATAGGATCTCGCTGGAAGTCCATGTCAAATCAAGAGAAACAACCTTATTATGAAGAGCAGGCACGGCTAAGTAAAATCCACCTAGAAAAGTATCCTAATTACAAATACAAACCTCGACCAAAACGTACCTGCATTGTTGACGGAAAGAAATTGCGTATTGGTGAATACAAACAACTGATGAGGTCTCGAAGACAGGAGATGAGGCAGTTTTTTACTGTAGGGTGAGTACTATTGTATTTATTTTCAAAGACTGAGAGTGCTGTTTGAAAACAGACTCATCTGTTCAAGTCACTGACTAATGTCATTTAGAAGGCAAGGATTTGAACCTGTAAAACCATATTAAAAACATAAAACATATCACGGAATATGGAGCTATCAGTTTACCACTGAATGCCAATTATGAGTCTGATTGTGGAATTCTTTAAACTCAAGTTGTTTCCCATTAGCCTGAAACATTTGAATCAAGTCTTTTGTGAATTATTAACAAACTAATCCATTCTGGGTTAGTAACAACTCCAAGATCATTTCCTGAATTAAGAGAAGAACAGAGAGAAAAACACAAAGTATTATTCCCGTGTAGAATAAGGAGTCAGGAGAAGGCGGAAAAGTGAAAAGGGACGGGAGTAATAGCAGTTACATTAGGAACACACATGAGTGAATGATATCATAGCATGAGGCTATTAGGAATTTTGTTATATATAATACTGTGGAAAAAAATAGTTTTAAAAAATAAATGTTTTAGGAAGCATCTTTCAAATACTGCATAGATAAACTGGGTAGATTAGAAGAATATATGTCTCAAAAAGATGCTGGCACAGTTTTAAAAACATTGTGTGTTTTTTAACAGTATTTCCTCTAGTCTTCAGCAGAGAAACCAGCACTGTGAAAGATCTACAGGCTAAAGATAATAGAAGTCCAGTGAAACAACTGCACCATAACTGATTTATTTCTCCTGTTTTTTTATGAATTAATCTGTGATGCTCAGTGCTCTAACACAATGTTTCTGGTGGTTTACAAAGAGTCTAAAAGCTATCTCCAGTGCCAGCCTTTCCAAATTCACAATGTTCTGCTTATTTCTCTAATCACAATAGTCTCCTTTTGTTGGGTACTTCACTACCAGATAATTGACCTTGACGTCGATTATGTGCCCTCATTTTTGGCTTGGGATGCAGAACTCCTGTTGCAGTCAATTATTTTGTGGTACAGCCTGCAACAATGTGGGCTCTTTCTTCAATCAGTAAATAGAAGTGGTTTTGATATCTTGAAATAGCCTTCCAGTCTATAGTTTTGACGTTGTTTTTTATTCTTTGCTCTAAAGCAAATTGTTTACTAATAGGCTTCCATCAAAACTGTACATAGAACTCTAAATAGAAATCTGAATTTATACAGCACATCACAAATTATATTCAGATTGAGGGAATGAAACTCTAGCTTATGTTTTCCAAAGCAGATTGACAGACCAAATCACATCTAGACAAGAAATGCAAAAGAAATGCCAAAACAGCAGTCTGAACAATTTGAGAATTGTTTGCTAATTCAAAACAGTATTAAGCAATAGCATTCTACACATTGGAAGTGGTGGATAAATATGGAGGTGAATATAGAGGATGGATTTAAGAAACTTCTAAAAGTGCCTACTTAATGAGTGACATTGTGATTTCAAAAAAAACAAAACAAAACAAAACAAACCCAAACCAAAACTATTCAAAATGAAACTGCTGGTTCAACTGAAATGTAACATTTTTCTCATATATCAAACAGTATGGTCACAAAGACCATAAGAATGTCATAATTTTCTTGAAAGGATTGGTTCTAATTCATATTTAGGCTAAGTCCACTTCACCATCCTCCATCCATGTTGAAGAAATTTTAAATTATGAGTAAATTACCTTTGTGGACTTATATAATGATGCGGTGGATTTTACCGGAAACAATGACTTTTAGTTATGCAAGTGATGAAAAAGGGGGTATGAAGTCTAATGGATGTGTTCAATAATGGTGAAATGAGATCCATGTTGCAGTTCAATATGAATATAAATTCAGATACTGAGGAAACACAGACTGTGATTTTAAAAAATTATTTCATGCTTTTCTGTGACTTCCCACTGTTGCCCCAAATTCCCTTTTTCCCTAAAGAAAAAATTAAAATTCTCAGAAGAGACTAAGTGAAAAATGTTAAAAAAAACAGACTAGGACAACTTTTTTGAACTGAAACATAAAACACGTCATCATTTCTTTCAGCATTATAGTTTACTGAGTAATAAAAAGCAACATTTCATCCAAATCAGATTAAAATTAAGTGAAACACAGTAACTGAGCCCATCAGCTTCTTAAACTTACTCTTCCTTGTGTTTAATGTAAAAACTACATAAAGCATCAGCTGGAACAGTTTTCCTAACTGACCTTGTACACCCATCATTTTTCCACTGTTTTGATGGAACAAACAGCATAAACCGTCCTTCAGAACTGTAGACATGAGAGTTGAGATGCAGTTTCCTTTTCAGAATTGAATAGGAGAAAAATGTAGGGTTTAGGATTGAATATACTCTGTTTACAACAAATATTTCAGTGTGAAATAGAGAACAAAAGTGCAAAACAGACTCCAGTGAAATGTGCCAAGTGCTTCATACTGCTTGAAATCCTGCTATTTTTTCTTTAAAAAACCCCATACCAATTAAGTTGGGAATGGATATGCCAAAATGGCAAAAGTTTATCATCACAGAATAAAAAGATAACAGGAGATGTGTCAAGAGATAGACCTTCAAAACAGGTGGCTAGAGGAAAGTAGAAATAGCACGAAAAATTATATCCTTTCATATTTGTGTTTGGTATTCTCCCATACCAAATGTACATTTATGGCTTAAGCTATCCAGTGAGGGCTAGTTCCTATCAGCTCCCCTTGGGTGAGCCATTGGCTAGCACAGATAGCCCTGCCACGGGTACAACTAAAACACCCCCCACCACAAACACAGGGAGAGTTTTACACTTCTTGAACTTTTAAGATGCAAAAAGCTCCTACTACTCACTTCAGTGAGCTGCATTTTTTGATAAACTTTGGTAAGATGCACAGAAGTTGTTTAGAGAATCTCAATATAAAAACTAGCCAGGCTTTGAAATAAAATAGAGAAATAAGCTTATGAATGGCCAGGTTCTGCTCTGATTTTTGAAGAAAAGCTTGCAAAGGATTGAATGAGAGTGAAGATTTCTTGGAATAAATTGGGCAGGAAATTTGTGTTTTGAGATAAATGTTATATATGTGATGGACCAGCACAAAAATCTAGGAACTGGCAAGTATTTTAAAGAACATAGTAGAACTTAAAATGTGTGTAGGCCTTCTAGTGCATCCCTACATGAATGAATTTTGTTCCAAATGAGGCAGATAATATACAGAAATAATTCATGTTTAATGCAGAGTATATTAAAAAATCGTTGGTTTTAATCTAGTGAAAGCTGAATCTGAAGCCAGCTACGTCTTTAAAATAATTGAGTTATTTTTAATAGGAAAATTATTAATGGGAAGTTGTGAATGATAACTTCAGCAGAAGTTAATCCTTGAACAGACTTCAACTGATTTACAGTTTATCTTCAATAGTACTTTTTTTTGTAATGCATAAATAAATGTGAACTAACAAATGGATCATATATAAACCATAGATCCAGACATTTTAAGAGTCTGTCTTTTGTTGCCTTGTCTTACAAAAATAATTCAATTCTCAGTCATTTTTACAGTCTAATACACTCTAAATACAAGTATATGATATATACATTTCTCTGCAAAATGATGTAAGCAGTAACTTTTTTTCGCTGTTTTACCAGTGTAAGATGTTTAGAATAAAGCCTTTATAGTGTTTAGAACTACTGTACACACACAGTTTGAATGTTGCTAGACTACAGTTTTGAATAAGTCTGTAATATTATACTCCTGTAGCTTGAACTTAAAGTAAGTACACAATGGGTGCTTTTGTGAGATTTACTGTTATTTCATTCCTTATGAGAATGTAAGTTTCAGGGGTGTGTAGCGTATAAGCATTTTCCTTAATGCAATTGATTTTGCTTCAGTCATTTAAAGAGCTGTCAGAAAAAAGTTGGGAAGGGATCAGAAAACAATGGTAATTTGCCAATTCAAATGTTTAGCTAGTTTTGCAAAAGTCAAAAGTGGAATGTTCTCCTGGAAAATCCTAAGAATATTAACGCTTCAAACTTGTGAGCAGGTCAGTTGGTCTAAGAATTTGCATGTTACCTCCTTTTTCATATTTACCTAACTATTTTGGGCCAAATCTTTGGCCCCAGACCGGACAGACATGTTAGCAGTGCTGGCAGAGCAGAGAGGCAAGCGACCTGTAGTAATTGGCCACATAAGGATTTCTTTGGCAAAGAGGAGATGGCGGAGACAGGAGTGGTTTGAAGCCAGGGTATGTAGCCATGCGTCACTGTTCCTCACAGATCTGGAGAGATGGGAAGATTAATGTTGGGTTCTGGAAATCTTAACCAGGCAGAAAACATCCTTGCTTTAACCATGTGCAACTAAGCTGAATTGTAACCTGTAGCTTGCAGTGAAGTATGCTTTTATCTCTTACTCCAAGGTCCTATGATAGGCAAAACTCTAGCTCGATACAAGGATTAAACGTGGAATTTAATGTTATAAAAAATACCACTAACATGAATGCCTTTAAGAACTACAAATAAAACATAATGATCAGAGTCATAGGTTAGAAACTCCAACTCTTACTTTCAGGGAAGGTGGTTAGAATTTAAATAAATGCTCTAATTTCTTCCCCCTTCTCCATCCTATAAAATGGAATCACTTAGAAAATTATAACACTCATCTCCAGTAACGTATGCCATTTATATAGTTTGTGATATCTTAAAATAAGGCTTTCTGGGATGTAATGCAGCAACTTGAAAGAATTTACGCTGACAACCTGATCAGCTCTAAATAGTAACAGGGCTCAAGTGAGAGGTAGGTGTCCAGTTACTGGAGGTGTGTGGGTGCCCATGTTTAAGTGCTAGCAAATTTTTGCTAGCAAATGGGTAGCAATTTGAGACACTTCCCATTTAGGTAGTACAGTTACTACATATTTACAGTACCACAGTGAGATACAGGTAATTTAAAGCTCACAGTTATTACCCGTGCAGCAGCAGGCATGCACACCACATCTGATTTTCGTTTAACATGTAAAAAAGAACCGCATTTATGAGTGACAAATTCAGTAAGCCTTCAACTTTCTTGTTACACCAATCAAGTTCTTCACGGGTTAGATTTATTCTGTAGTTTCTCAAGTAAAAGGTATCTCTCTAAATTCTGCTTCATTATGCTCTGATGACCTGCTCCCTTTTCACTTTAAAATGGGTGATAACTGAACAAATATACCCTGTCCCTTTGGAATGTGGATATGCAAGAGGGTTTTGCTGACTTGATAAGCAGCTGAAAGAATATCAGAATTTTTTAACTTAGTCTGTCCTTCAGGGCTTAACACTGACAACCTTCATTTTATCAAGAGACCTTACAGTCCTGTCCTAAACATATTACCTTTTTTTCCTTCTTGCTGCTTATAAAACGGCAATTTGCTTCTAAAAAAATGCAAACCTTTTTTGGGGGAGGGGTAGGGGTCGGTATTAAGGTTCTGATCCTTACTGTCATCTATGACACAAGAGCAGCTTGCACCAAATCATTCTTTGAGTACATTCTACAACTCTTACTAGAAGCATTGTAAAAACAACTTTTCTCAAACATCTTTTGGCATTAATATTGTGGTGTTCTTTGATGAACAATTGGGGATGCTTTGTTTGTGAATTTATTTATTCTAAGAAATATTGGAAAAAAGATTAGAACCAGCAGTTGTTAGGTGGGCCAATTAGAGAGAATTAAGTGTGTATGGCCTGGTGACAACTATGCAGAATTTTGCTGTGATGATGTGTGGGTTTCTTTTTCCTTTGCTTTGTGGAAACAGTCATTGATGTGAACATTTTCTATATCCAAAAGTTGTGGAGGCAATACATGTGTGTTTTAAAGAGTAATAGTTTATACTCCCAACAATGTGCAATCCTAAAATAGAAATGTTCCCATGTGAGGTAGGTGTTCAATTTTATGGAAAAAGTATTGAAAGATGTTTGCATAAAATCACTTGCAAGCAAATACATTGGCTGAAAATTGTTTTCACAGAACATTTATCAGACCATTTAAAAAGTGAAAATTTAGTGAAAAATCCCTAGCTGTTTGTAAATCATCTGCAAATCATCATTTGCAAACAGGAGTATAATGACTGTGTCAAATGAATTACTGTGATGTTTTTGCTCCCTGCTAGCCAGGTGTACCATAGTTATACAACAGATGTTTGAATTTCTCAAGCTGTGCAGAGGCTTTAAGATCCAGGCTAGCAGTACCAGCAATGACAGTACTACATTCTATTTTATTGTTATCTTACACAGAGTGTTCTTGATTTGACTGCCTGTATTGGTTCCCAAACATGAAGGACTCTGGTTTCCCAGTAACTCTGTACTGTGATATTTTCCAAAATCAGAGTTTGATCAATAAACAATGAAGACTCAACATTCAGGGTCCTGTAAATAAGCTTTACATTATTTTGTGTATTGATTTAGCCAATGAATAAGGATTTGTGAGAGACTGGTTTATGGAACGTCCTTTTGAATTTTAGCATAGAATAACACAGTCGGCAAGAAATTCCAGATTCGTTAGACTATTCAAACACATCTGACAGTTTCTCCTGATAAACTTACACAATAGCTCTCTAGGACTTAGTCAGTAATACTCTAAAGAAGGTTGGGAATACATTGAAATATATGATTATTTAAATAGATTATGCAAATAGGCATGTATGTTCAATAACTAGTCAATACTAAAACAGCATCTTCCAGAGTACTTAAGTATTTCTGGTACTGGAGCATATTCATTCAGTGTTACATCTAAAGTATGATGGAGATTCTCTTCCTTCAGACAAGTTACATTCCTTCTTTTTCTCTTAACTTTATTCAGGGTAATGATCCAGAAATAATTTGAGAATATTTGTATGACTATTTTAATATAGAATGTATGTTATTAGTTAATTAACCCAAATGTAAGAAGTAGATTTAATTAGTTTGTAGCCAATAAGGGCTTGACCATGGAATAGGTTCAGCAACCTGACATCTACTCAGCAAAGCATTTGAAAATACATACATCATAGTAAGAAGAGACACTGCATCACTTAGTACAACTATGTACATGCTTACAGAAAAGCTTGTGTTGAGTTTCTTGACTGGCAGTGGTATAAGCCTATTTTAGTTGAAGTGTGGTATTGAGCCAGTATGTTTAAAATCACACACACATTGCAAAGTTGGATATCAGGAGGTAAGATGTGTCAAAAGTAGAGGTAGTGCACCCTTAACTGAGTCTTCCCATGTATTTGCATTGTCAAAATAAATCAGATCTGATGTTGGTTCCTCAGGAGAAAGTCTTAATTTCTATAGACTGTCTGTTACCATAGAAAAAAAAGAACATTTGTTCTTTTTTCTCAAGTACTTTGCTTCAAAAACTCAGTCCTGCACGTTGAATTCTGAAGAACAAATGGCATTCTGATTATGGATTTAAATAAAAATCAAAAGCCAGCAATAAAATATCAGAAGTATTTTTAAATAACGCAGGAGTCTACCTAGCACTTAAATAGTAACACTGTAGGTATTTACAGGTAATCCTCCGGTCCCCTCATTAACAGAAGCTCTTGTCAGGACTTTGGAGGATTCAGATTTTGCATATGTGATGCCTACAGTAGCAGTTAGGCATCACACAGGTGCCTGAAGCCTTCTGATGATCTCTGTCCAAGTGCTAGTTTGCAGTAGGGTTTAAATGAACACATAAAATACATAAAAGAATCAACGTCTGGTAGTTACTAAACAGCTTACTCTCCAGCCGTCCTTGGGGGGGAGCTAAGATGAACCAAAACCGTACGGGACCGTACTGTGAGCCCCAGAGGAACGCAAGCAGCCTTTCTAGGAAACCACCCGCTTTTCTTTCATTTGGACTTGCAGAAGGTCTTCCCTCCTCTGATCACAGCAAATCACGTTCCCCTCTTGTTTTTCTTTCCAGACAACAGCCTCAAATTCCAATCACCACGGGAACGGGGGTTGTCTATCCTGGTGCTATTACCATGGCGACTACCACGCCATCACCTCAGATGACATCCGACTGCTCGAGCACCTCTGCCAGCCCTGAGCCCAGCATCCCCGTCATTCAGAGCACTTATGGTATGAAGACGGACAGCGGAAGCCTTGCTGGAAATGAAATGATAAATGGAGAGGATGAAATAGAAATGTACGAGGACTATGAGGATGATCCCAAATCAGACTATAGTAGTGAAAATGAAGCCCATGAGGCAGTCAGTGCCAACTGAGGAGTGTTCACAGAATTAAAGTACTCAGACTCATTTGGGTTTTTTGGGGTTTTTTTTGAACAAAAGTTCTTAAAGAGCCTGCATGCATGTGTGGCTCCTACAGTTACATCAGCAGAATGGTCTTAAATGTTTCTTAACGTGTGAGACAGATTGTTTCCCTAATTTTTCATGAACTTGGTTTTTTTGTTTTTGTTTTTTTAATTTAGATGAAGACATATATTAAATATCAGACATCAGGACTTGAAAACTTATATGAATCAATAGCTGTCTTACAAGTCTTACCTTTTGTCTTTTTCCGTTTGGATGCTGATAAAGGTTTAAGTTACTGTTTTAGATGGGGGTTATACATTCTCACTCAGGTATGCTGTGCCAGCCTACAGGTTGTGAATGTGTTTTTATTCTGGATTATTTTAAAAAACAAAAACTGCAGATTTCATATTGTGAAACAGAACAAGTCCGCAAGTGTGCACATCTGTGCATCATAGCTCGTCTTTAAAAAATAGTCTCTGAATTCCATTTTTTTCCATATGTATAGCTGAACTTCTGATGTGCCAAACTTTTCATAACTTTTGAATCTTAACATTAAAAAAAAAAAAGTCTTAAGGGAGACACTGTAAAGTCTTAGACAATCCTTTGGCATCTTAAAAAAAGTATATATAAAACCTAATTTTTTCCAGAATATGGTAAAGTACTCAGGAATCTGGAGACAGGATATTCTTAAGTAATGAACATGGTTGCCATAGTGCATGTGCCCAATTGCTTTTGCCTCTTGATGTGCCATTAGTGTGAAATCTTAAGTAAGCACAAAAGAGCGATCACCAGCTATGGACGGGCCTGTCTTAGCAGTGTGAGGCCACCTCTGATTACATTCTCTACCCCTTTGCTTTTAACCCTTGCATTCAGTCTTAACACATTTTCTCTTAAATAATTTATTCATTCCAGAATGCCAAGGGTCCAAATACTTAATATTTATTATTAAAAGTACTGTTGGTGGCATTACACTTACAATTCCTTATTGATATTTTAAAGAACCCCTTCTTTCTCCTCCCCTAAATTACACAGGTATATAAAAATAAAAGTGCACCTGCTACTAAAATGAACATGACATTTATGAATGAGAAATTCAGCTGTTCCTGTAACTGTATGTGCAAGGAGCTCTTGGACACACTTTGCTATATGTAATGCAAAACAGAGTACTTTTATATGCATATACAGTGCAAATATTCCTAAAAAATTGTGTTTATAGATTTAAACCTCTATACTTAGACAGCAAAGGCAGATGTAGAATCCAAACTGCATGTAGAGTCCACCAGGATGAATTTTTAGGCCTTGCAGAATCCTACAGTGAATCATGGCTCCATACATCATGTTCCTGGTGTCACCTGAAGGAGCTGTTTGCTACCTGAAGTATTTATGCAGTGATTTATATGTGAGACTCCTAGTGGGGGAGGGAAGGCCACACAAATATCTGACTTGCAAAGCTGGGAAAATGGTGCATCAAAAATATTTATTGAATATTAGTCGTGTGGGAATGTGAGCCAGATCTTGATGAATGCTTGTCAAGTGCTTTGGGATCTTTGGATGTAAGGTGCTATAGAAATTAAAATTTGTATTTGTATTACTACTAGAAACAATGCAATTGCTAGAGAAAATTCTGGGAAACGTATGAGAGGTATTCAAAGATTGTGAGTTTATTAAATTTCAGCGACAGAGAATAAATTGCCTTTATTTTTTTCCCTCATGCTCCACTCCTATTCACAAATACATCACTGTATATATATGCAGATCCAATGGGCCTGATGAATACATGTGCTGAAGCTCCTCAGCTCCCTCAGCATTTATTTTGAATTGGATATATTCAGCACATTGGTGATAAATTCAGACTCAGGCTGAGAGGTATGAGTGGGCCCAGAGCTGCTCCTCTTGAAGTCTGTGGAATCTTCCCACAGAGCTGAGCGGGCTTTGTTTAGGGCCCAGCCCATGAAAGAAGGATAGTGTTAATGCTGGCTATCCTCGTGCTACCATCCTATCTTCCAGAAATCCCTGTGAGGTGCGATGACAAGATGCTGTATTGGGAGCAGTGATTTTCCTCAGAACCCCACCAATACCTATTTGAGCAGAGATAGCCACTGTTACCACTGTAGGAATCACATTTAAATGTGCGAGAACAGCCCCCACGACAAAGAAGATTGTTCAATTTACAGGACAATTAATAAAGATAATGGCATAGAAACACAATGGTCAAATTTCTCTGACCATCTTGTAATTTGGAACAAAATGCTATATTTTTAATATTTATTTAATGTGTTCTGAGTCCATGTCTAATAAGCAATAAACTGGTCTAGCCAAGACTTTAAAGGCATATGCTGTGTCGTTAGCTGGTGAGCGCCCTCTTTAAGCTGGCTAAGGTACTGATAGAAAGTGTTTTTTGTTCTTATAATTGCTTGGGAATTTGAACTGGTTTTAATACATTCAGCTCAGATTGGGGGGAGGATACCATTATTTCCTAAAAAAATTACTATTTATTAATGTCTTACATAATTCTCCAGTTAGAAGTATCTCTTCCTCCCCCCATATCACTTTCTTTCTTTCTTGCTCTCTTTTTTTCTGGTTTTGTTGCATAGGTAGAATGCTGTATTGCTAGCATTGTATTTTATGTAATTATTTTTTTTTTTTGCACAAAGGCAAACATTTAGATTAGTTGGTTAATTTTTTTTTTTTTTTTTTAATTTTATGACCATGCCAAAATAATATTCTGCAGGCTTGTGGAGAACAAAGGACTGTTCTTTAGGACTGAAACTTGATTTTGCTTGTAGTACAAAAAAACACACACTCACAGATGTTGTTTCGTAAGTGTTATAAGCACTGGATATAAATGGTATTTTTTATCACTTCTGACTAATGTGAAACTGTTGTACGAAAACTACATGAACAAAAGTCATCTGTTTCGACTCGTGTGGGCCTGCCTCACAGTTGCCGGATTTGAGTCATTTTTATGTCTTGTTATTTCATTTATTTATGCAAAATACATGTATGTATGAACACTTTGTTTTAGCTCCAGCCCTGCCTCAATGCTGATGCTCTGTAAGTTAAAGCCACATTCTTGAAAATGACTGGCTGTTCAGGACTCGCCAGCTGGTAAAAATTGCATTTATTGGCTGGGGGAGTGGGAGGAACATATTTGAATCTGAATTGTGCATATGAGCATTTTATTCTATTTATTAGCCGACACTGGCTCTAAAATGTCAGTAGAAATCAAGGGAGGACAATCACAAGGATAAAAAACAACATTTTTACTTTATTAATAGGAGCTCAAAACAAAGTTTTTGATGAATTTACCATCTCATTTTAGAATTTTTTTAAATTGTGTAAATATAACATAGGAAATAGAATTTTATTTTTTGTTCATGGATACTTAGTGAAGTATAAGTTATGTATTTACTTTTGTTCTATATCAGTGTATGTTGGTCCATATTAAATGCTGACAAGTCACTGTACCTCATGTAGATGCTGAATTTACACCCGCAGTGTGAGCGCAGTATTGTGGACCTGTAGCTGGGACAGCAAGATGCCTCACTTGTGCTCTCACTGATCTTTAATAGCATATTCCACAAACACAGAATACTTTCTTCTTTTTTAGAAAGCTGATACATTAAACATACCAAATTTCTGATACATTTGTCAGGAAACACAGTCTTCTGAGTTCAAGTAAAACTTACGAGATATTTTGCTTCTTAACAAGAATGGCATTTGGAAGTCAAAAAGCGTATCCCTGGAAAGATTATCGTGACTAAGATGGCCCTTGCAATGCAGTCAAGACCTAGTAATAGCAAACCTTTATTTTTTACATTCACTAAATCATATTATTGTCATATAAGGCTCTAATGCCAGGGGAAATTGTTCACACAATACACAAAGAGGACTTGTGGAATTGCTTTAGAAGCATTGTGTTTGAACCCCCTCTTAGTAACTCTGAAAAAAATAACAACTCCATTCAGGTAATGCATAAATATAGTAATACTATTTTCTCTGTGAACAGACAGTTTATTTAATTAACAGATACAATATATTTTCTTTTTGGAAAATTATAAAATACTTATTTTCAAGAGAAAAACACTCCCGCAACAGTCTGATACCAGCTAGAATAGCTCATATTTCATACAAATGGAAGATAAAAGTCTTAATGGAAACAACTGCTTTCCAGGGTTCAGGTTTACATGGAGAAATGACTCTGACGAAGTGGCCCAATTCTGGTCCGCCCCTATGTTTGGGCATCACTGCTTAGCTCGCGAAACCGCCCGCTGAGAATACAGGGGGTCGTAACGTGCTCCTGCATCAGTGCGCTCAGGTGGAGCACGAGGCAGGGGGAGGGCAAAAGATGGGATTGCTCCGGGATGGGAATGTGAAGCAAACAGCAGCATCAGTCACGATAAATACGATACCCTGTGCAGAGTGTGCAGGGCAGTTCCTGCTCTGAGTACAAACACAACCACCTCCCAAGGCAATCTAAAACATAGTCCTCTCTGGGTTGGCTTCCTGGTTTTGTTTTTTGGACACATCAAAGGCATGGCATTTCAAAATCACTTCTAGCAAAACATACTACAAGATTAACACCCCCATCTCCCCCTAGCAAAACACTTACCTACCTGCTTACTATTAAGCATGTTAGTACTTCCACGGCGGTCACGAGGACCAGTAAAGCGTTGGCGTTAAGCGGGGGAAACTTTGCTGAGCCAGGGCCACAGTGCGAACAACTGCACTGGAGATGCAGCCAGCAGAATGTATGATAGAGTTCTTCATGTTTTTATGAGAAGTTAATGAATGGGCTTGGACCCTTGGTGTTTTGCATGCTTTTTTAAGATTCAAGTTGGCACTTAAGCATGTTCTTTTAAAAGAATAATACTATATGACCTCATTTGATCTTTTACAAAACACTTATTCTTTTTCCTTCAGAAAAAACCTCCTCCAAACCTTTTTTTTATATAACCCATTAATATCTGTGATTTTTCTCAGATCAAACTACATTTTTGATATACTGTAATGTCCTGCTACAGAAGAAAAAAAAGATGTATATGCAAATATATTTCATTTTAATCCATCACCCTTTTTTAACTACCAGATTTGTTGGAAATGGTGACAAAGAAGTATTCTGAGATTTCACACGCTGGGTAAAAAGGGGGTGGGGTGGGGTGAACCGGGCTAAAGGAAAACTTATCAAATTGGTATTTATGGCAATATGAAAGCTATAAAGCAACTTAGTGACATGGCTTGCTTTGTAATTTCCGCTTTCTAAAAACCACAAGTGAGGTCCTTGGTGCTCTTGGAGTATGGGGAATGTGCAAATATTTAACTGTTTGTATGCTGCACATTGCAGACCTGCTAGTGTGCATTCTCCGTTTGTCTTCCTTTGTCATTTGTGTTTTGCTTTCTAGAAAGCAACGTTTTTTTTCTTGTACCCTTCTTCAGCTTGTAGCAAACTAGAATGCTTAGCATTTATGTTCATTCATTATTGTATTTCCCATGTAAAAATTTTTTTATTACATTAAGACAAGCTTATAAGCTGTTACTACATAACTTATCTTACTGTAACTCTTATTTCCTGACATTGTAATTTGTTTGTGATGTATATTGTGAAATTGTACTCTATGTTAATTTAATCAGCACAATTCACTGACATGCTGGACTGACATGCTAGCTGCTGTTTCAAATTGTAAAGTTTGTGTAGAGCTGTTGGGACAACTGAGACTCTCTTGTCAAGGTACTATGCTTTGATTCCTATAGCAACACTGTGGGTGCAGCTCTTGATGGTGAGGGCTGCTCGTTGGACACCCACTGGCTAACTTAATGGGCAGGTTTTCTTTGTAGAAATTCTATATACAATGCAGGTACCTACCTGGGCCCATGGCCGGTAATTATTTGGGCGTTTAGAGGAAAAACTAGTGTCTATTGCTGCTTTGAATATGTTTTAAAGTCTGAAAATGTAAATAGTTTATTCAAAAAAATCTTGTACAGTCCAGTGTAAAGTTTTTAAATGAACTTAAAGGTTGCCATCACATCTCACACTCTCCTCTTGATAAAGTAAAAAAAAAAAAAAAAAAAAAAAAAAAAAAAAAAAAAAGAAAGAAAAAACTTTGCTAAGGATACTGATTTAAAAAAAAAAATCTGTTCTCAATTTAAAAAAAGAGAATAGTTATTCTTAGCTCTGCTTCATTGCATAAACAGACTTCTTGGATTTTGTTGTGCAGTATTGACGTGAGGTAAATTAAATATTAAATAATCTTTCAGTGGTACTTTTAAGAGTCTTCTCCTCCTCTGCCTCAGTTATTAATGGAAAAGACAAAATTGAAAGACACTGTCCATATACAGTATGTTCTGGTGTACGTTGGCACCTTACCTACATGTTTCGGGTGGGGGGGATTTTTTTTTAATTTTTTTTTTTTTTTTTTTTTGCACAAGGTGCTTTCCTGATATGTTAAACATGTCATCCTTGGGTGATACAGTATATGCCATGATAGGGGTTTAAACCCCTCAGGGGAGTGTCTATAAGACTGCCTATTTATGCTCATTTACCTCAAGACTGTCCTCTCTACCCTTAATCTATTCACCATCACTCCATCTTTTGTACTGCTGTTGACACTTACAAATTAAAGATAAATTTTGTTTTATGAGATGCGTGTGTGACTTCTTCTATGCATGCCTTATTATTCCTTTGAAGTTAGTGTTAAAGATTGACCACAATGAGTTGATGGGCAGGAAAATGCAACTAGGCCTGTTCAGTTGGCCTCCCTTAAATTTAGTGACTTAATCTTCCAGCTCTTAGGTTTTTTCCCCATGCCTTTCCTTTCTATAAAGGCATTTATCAGCCTCTGAAATCCATTAACACCATATGCTGTAAAAGACACGCATGATAACCAGCCTAATTTGATAATATTCACTGAGTACTGTCAATTTTGTAACCAGGAAGTGCTGTTGGTAGCAACGTAATCTCAGACGGATTTTTATTGAGTAGAAATGAGACAAAATGGTTCTTATGTTTCTTCTTTCTTTGCCTTCCCCCTTTCCGCTGCATATAACATTAAACAAACTAACCAAAGTTGACAACAAAAAAAAATATAGTTGCCATATTGCCATGTCTGTAAACTGCTGCCGTTTCTGTATTATGATTGGCTCTCGACTTAGTAATTAGTCATGGTTCTCATAGGAAAAGAAGAAATTACATTGAAGTATACTGTAACAGAAATGTAACAGAACATTTTGATTGTGCATTTCATCACATTTCAACCTAGTTTCAGTTACTGCACGAACCATCCTGAGACGTCTAAGTGGGAAAGAATCCTTACTACCCTGGAGAGAGCATCATACATGAAATTATTACAAATGACATATTGGATTATGAATCTATGTGATTAAATAATTCAGGATCAAAAGTGGAAGTAATGAAGTTGCTGACCAACATGTCATACCGGATAAATACACAAATATTGACTTGTGTAATTTAAGCTTTGCTTCTTTGTAAGAAGTCAACTAGTTATTCAGTCAAAATTTGACACTAAATTAGTCTGCAGAAGGTAGCGAAAAGCCTTTATTTCTGCTGCTGAATCTATTACAGTTTGACAAAAAGTGGCAACGGCCATACCATAAATCTGGAAAACAGAATTAGACACTAGATCACAGTCAGTCCAGCTTGAGCTACTACGGTCAAAGGCACCTGGAGAAGAAGCACCATGTCATTGGGCCTGAATTTTACTTCCATGTGGTACATCTGAAATGGAGTCTAATCCTCTACTGCTGTATTTTCATATTGCTCCACTTAAGTCAGTTTATGCCATCCAAATTTTAACTTTTTCTCTGTTTTCCCCACACACTCTCCTTACCACATGATTGGTCTCCTTTTCTTGATGGAATCTGAAGCTGTGAATAATGATCAGTAATCTGGGAAACACTGGTGGTGTCAGCTGGGTTGTTACATAGGTACAATGAAAAGCAAGCTGAGGAATGTGTTGTGGTTTGAGCCTACTCAGCAGCTAAACGCCGCACAGCCGCTCACCCACCCTCCCCCCACTTGGGAATGGGGAGGGAATCAGAGGGGCAAAGGGAGACTCACAGGTTGAGATAAAAACAGTTTAATAACAGTAACAGAACAATACACTGACAGCAATATCAGTAGGCAATGTACAATACAGCTGCTCACCACCTGCCGACCGACACCCACCTGCTCCCGGCCGGCGATCCCAAACACAAAGGCCCCACGGCCACACTCCCAGAAGTGGCAGCCTCTCCCAGCCCTCTCCTGCCTTTATATAGTGAGCACAATGTCACATGACATGGACTATCAGCCAATCGGGGCCCAGCCCTCCAGCTGTGCTCCCCCAGCCCCCGCACACAGGTGAGGGCACTGGGCCCTGGGGAGCCCCTGGGGTCTCAGGGGGCTGCAGCACTCCTCCAGCTACTAAAACAAACAGGAACTCTATTCCAGCCCCAACCAGGACAGTATCCA